AATTCTCCACCTTTTGCTGCATTACCATCCTCCCTATCTTCTTCTTTGCAGAAATGAAATCCTCCCCAGCCCTGCTTGGGGCAGCAGCAGAGAGACATCAACACAATGCCACTAACTAAGAACAGCACTGTGCCTCTCACTGAAGACCATCCCCTCACTGCTGTATCAGCCCCACAGGTTTGCTGTACATGCCCTGCCATTCTAATAAACATATCCATCGGTTCCCTCCTTGTTGATTTCCTTCACAGACACTCCTTAGCAGCAGGACGGGCATGCTGCTACAAGACAACACTGCTAGTGACAAGAAGAAGAATCAGAAGAATCAGGGGAGGAGGAGGAAAGATGACTCTGTATTTTCTTGTTTGGGTCCTTCTCTTGTCCACCCAGTGTTTCCTCACTTTCCAGCTTTTCAGATCAAGACTAAACTTGTTTTTTTCCTTCACAGACCTCATTCTGAGTCCTCAAATTTCTTCACTTTGTGAAGCTTTGGCCATGACTGTCAATACTAGCAAAAGAAAAAATAGTTTCAGATTTATGCACATTGAGGACAGAACTTCACCTTAGGCCCATACAAATGAAAACACACATGGCCCAAGAACAGCAAGAGCTGGGTATCCTAAGGAGAAAAAAAGTTCTAAAAGGGAGAACTGGGCAGGAGATACAAAATAGGTTCAGGAACCTAGCCCATATTCTGCCTGCCTGTTGATTCCCCACTACAAATTAGCAAGATACGTCTTCTTGTAGGATTCAAGCAACCTTGGTTGGTGACACCGAGCATAAAACTGCCAGGGGAGAAAACGTGTGTCAGAAAAAAGAAGCCGCAAGTAAAGAATCATTTGCTGGGAAACACAATCACTGATTTTCTATGACAAACATTTACATGCTGTGTCTCATTAGGTCCAAATAGGGCTGGTTCCCAGGAAGAGGCCATTGTGGGCTGTATGGTGGTAAAAGGTACCTTCCCCATACACATATCAGCTGCATTCACTACCAAACCTATGAGACATCCCCCCACTCCATACATATGAACTGCTGAAAGTTCCCTTGTAAGAAAACATTCACAGCAAACTGAATTGTTCTGTCCCTAGCCTTATGATCCATTTTCATTTCAAAAGCATCAATATTCTCAATATCCTGCTTCTTCAGAGTCCAACTTTTGTTTCCATAGAGGGTCCCAGGGAATACCATTGTCTGCATTATTCTTATTTTTGTAGGTATAAACATATCACACACCTGAATATCTTTTCTAAGGCCTTCATGGCTACTGTACCAAGTGCTATCTATCTTTCTTCCTTTACTGTTGATGGTTGATCCTAAAAGCCAGAAACTATCTACCACTTCAATATGCTCAATATCAAAACTACTGGCCAGGTTCTCGTTTAATGAGAATCTCATCTAACCTTAAATATGAAATGTACCAAAGTAAACAATACTAAACATGTACTGTTATCACTGATATACCTTTTCCAAGCAGGCTTAATGCAAATCAGCAGAAAGGGATTAATTGATGAAAGTTCTTAAGATACCCTTTCTCAACTTCTAGATATTCAGGGCTACAATTCCAAAATTCCAGGCCAACATATCCAGAGGGCACTAGTTTTGGAAAGGCTTTCCTAAAATTTCTCTAGTATTGGAGATGTCGATATGAATATGCAGCTAGAGCAACTTCCAACAGGATGGACAGAACTGGGAATGGTCAATTGGAAAACTAGAAGCTGTTTACTCTAAAATGGTACTAGGATCAGGAAGGTACTAGAATATATACCATATATGCCTGATGTAAATAATCAATACTTCAGTCATGCAAGTCATGGTGAAGATTTCCAAATCACCTGTGACATTAAGTGCTGGAAGGCAGCAAGGAAGGCTAGTACAACTGACCTTTCTGTTTACTTCAAGAAGAGACCAAAGACTCAGCTTTATAGGAAGAAGCTGTTTCAAATGTCCCAACTTCCCCCACCACACCCATGAATCATCTCTATTGTATCCATGGCAGGAATCTAGAAGCTGTTCAGGGCAGTCAAAAGCTCCAAACCCCACCCACACACCCTGCACTGCCCATGTCCTAGCAATTCTACCTAAATACCTAGATTCATGACTCTTCTAAATCTTGAAAATCTGCCATGCCTTGCTTTAACCTCCGATTTTTCTCACCCCAGAGTGAGGATCTTAATCCACAACTACTTTGCATGTTTCTCCTTATCCTCTCCAATTGTCAACCATCAAAAGCTATCATGATTGCCTCTCTCTCAAGATTTCCATCCTTCCTTGAATCGCTCTTTCCAACCTGTATAGTCTGAGACTATAACTCCCTGAATATCCAACCCACCTAAATGACCTAGATTAGGAAAGGCTGCCTTTTGATACCTCAACTCAGTCAAGGACACTGTTTCCCCATGGGATATATGCAGCTTTACATGAAAAGACTGATGCCCCAGACACAGATGGCTTCTGCTCCTCTTACAGATTCCACTGATGTTCTCCTTCCTTGCCAAACATTTAGAAAATTATAAATCTTTTAAAGATTTCTATATATAACGGGTAGTTAACTGTGAGAGAAGTTCATGTTCTACAAGAAAAGACCATCTTCCCCAAAAATGTAGCTTATAAGAACTATATAAGTTGAGTTTTGAGTTGCCGAAAGAGCAGTTATTGGAAAAAGATGATACACCACCAATCTCATACACCACTCTTCTCCAACCTGGTTCCCCTTTAGACTTACTGTAAAAAAAATCTGTTCAATCATGCCTGATTCTTGGAGACTCCTAGGTAAGTCCCTGTAGTTTTTTTCTTGGCAAAGTTTTTTGGAAGTGGTTTGCCACTGCCTCCTTCCTAGGGCTGAGAGAGAGTGACTGGCCCAAGGTCACCCAGCTGGCTTTGTGCCTAAACTGGGACTAGAACTCATGGTCTCAGTTTCTAGCCTGATGCCTTAACCTCTACAACCAAAGCAGCTCACACTGTACCCCTATTAGTTGACTAATTCTTAGGGCTGTGCTGTACTTCTGATTCAAGGGCAACAAGGTGCTTAACAGTACATCATAATCTGAACTTCAGTCTTGAGAGATGCAAATAAAGTACTATATGCACTGGTGTTGTATAATATAATCTTATATGCTGCTTTAGTCAAGGTGATTCACATGAGACAATTGCCAAGTCAGTGACCAATTTTAATGATTATACATTGCAAGAGATTGATCACAACTGAAGTAATTAAATCAATTTTTCCTCATTCTCATCCCCAAAGTGTCTTAGACATACATAGAATTTTATTGTGAAATACAAACCCTTTCATTTCATTGCCAAAAGTCTTTTGGAATTAAAGGGAAAAGGCATGCTTTGATGGCAATCTTCTTAAGAATGCATCAAACTATAAGGAGGAGAACGCCACTCCATTATTTTTTAGTTGCCTCCAGCAGCTTCTTCTCATTCAACTCCTGCATCCTTTTTCTAAAGCCTTCTAGGTCTTTTCTCTGGAGAAGACAGAAATGCCATTTTCACCATAGTTTTTTTTTCCTCCAAGATGTACAATAATGACATTTACTGCAGCAACACATTTACCTGTTCTTCAGTTAGAGGTTGAAAGATCTTGCCCTGAAGGAAAAGTATCAAGAAAACAATTAAGTAAGAAGATGCAAAAAAAAAAAAAAAGTGTCATAAATAAATATAGCAAGCAGCCACAGAATGTAAAATGCCAGCAGGAAAAAAAATAGAAAGGAAATGGGCAAGTAAAATGCTGTGCTTAAAAGAAATAATTGACTAGAAACTGGAATGAGAGTGCATCATTTAGGAGGGAAGATGCACTGCTATCTTCTGTTGAATGTCCTGTTTGTCACAATTGTGTAATTTCCTTTATTTTAACATTACAGACCACTGAGTCCAACCAAATGCTTGAGCAAGTCCTTTTGCAGTTTAAATCAAAACAGAAAAAAATGCACATCAGAATAACTTTGGAAATAAATGTATTAGCCCATATATTTCCCTCTAATTACAGGAGGAGACTTACTGCAATTGCATATTTTTCAAAAAATTCTGTCTGATTTGCTATCCAGAATATACCAACAGGGAAGGTCAGATACAGTACCATCTGAAAGAGAAAGAAAAAAGTCAGATGCCATTGGTTGAATCAAACAAAGGAAATTATTTTACAGGATTTGTATTAGATTTGTTTTTCCTTTTCCTTCCTCTTGCCCCCTTAATTAAAGGGCAGGATATTACAAAATGGCAAAAAAGGAAAAGGGTCTGTCCTCCTTTCCAGATTAAGTTCTTTTGGTATCAGAAAGAAAAAGAGGAAACTGCCACTGGTGATATCCAGAGCTGTACTAGTCCTTATGGCAGTAGTTTTCAAACTTTTTGGTCTCAGGATCCCTTTACATTCTTAAAAATTACTGAATACCCCAAAGAACTGTTGTTAATGTGGGTTGTATCTATCAATATTTACTACATTAGAAATTAAAGCAGAGAACATTTTTATAATATTTATGAATTTGTGTAAAAATAATAAATCTATTTACATGTTAATATCAAAAATAACTACATTTTCCAAAACAAAAAAAAATAGTGAAAAGAGTGGCAATGTTTTACAGTTTTGCAAATCTTTTTAATATCTGGCTTAATAGAAGACAGCTGGATTCTCCTATCTGCTTCTGCATTCAATCTGTTGCAATCTGTTGCTTTGGATGAAGTAAATAAAGAAAATTCAGCCTCATGCAGATCTGTGATTGGAAAAGGGAGGAGTGTTTTAGCAATCTTTTCAGGATATTCTTCTTTGACACTACACCAAAACTCAATGCATCTTAAAGGTTAGCTGTAATGTGGAATCGGAGAGTGAAAAAGGCAAAAAAAAAATCTTGGTATTATTATGAAAATAGTTTTGACCTTGCAGATCCTCTGAAAGGGTCCAGACCACCCTTTGAGAACTGATGCTGTAGGGCAGTGTTTCTCAACCTTGGCCGCTCGAAGATGTGTGGACTTCAACTCCCAGAATTGCCCAGTTACAGCATGCTGGCTGGGGAATTCTGGGAGTTGAAGTCCACATATCTCCAAGCTGCCAAAGTTGAGAAACGACGCTGTGGGGGAAAAAAAGGCAGCCATTTCCACCCAATACCCC